AAAAATTGTATACAAATTGGAAATTATTTGAGAATAAACTATAACATCTGTTATACATGTATACCACTATCACAAATCAAATAAATTTTCTATTTTCTTGTTAACCTGAAAAAGAGAAACAAATATTATTTAATTGGTAAACGATAGTAATTAATGAAACTAAACTTTATGCTTCTGAACTCACTAACCTCCACGGTAATATCAATATCGAATACAATACACGAAGAACTTGCAATGAAGTTTCGAAGTCATTTGTCAAACCAATAATTGTCTACATATATGACACACATAAAGATCCAAAAAGCTCACCCATAAAGATCAAAGACAATCAAGAAAGTGATTAGACTATATAATAATAATTGTTAGAGAAATTACCAGGTACCGTTTCTATCAAGTCAAGTCAAAATGTTATGAGAGTTACCCAAAACTACAATTTCATATACAGGTCCTCTCCTCATCTTATTCCCGGAGTTAGTCATCCAGGTCAAGATATATCTAACGACCCTTCATCCGGTTCCAGCATTGGAAGAGAAGGATTTGAAGAATCTCCTTCACACTCTCCTTTCTTTTTCACCTCACACCTTTCCTTTATTTCCTTCCAAAGCAAGGGCGCGTCACCAGGTTTCCTCGCCAGAGAAACTCCGTTGGCTAGACTCCCATAAGTTGCCACATTTGGGTAAAATCTGTTTTCTTTCATACTTGAAACTACTCTCTTCGCATCTTTAGTCAAACCTAGCCTGCAATACCCTTCAACCAACATGTTATACGCAATCAAATTAACTTTGACCCTTGGATCCCTCATCATCTCATCAAACACCCTATTCGCCAACTTGGGTTGCCCCGACATTGCGAAAGCCTTCATCAAAGTAGTGTAACTAATCTTACTTGGTGCAATTCTTTTCGTACTCATTTCATTGAAAAATGATAGAGCTCATGCGCTATCATCTATAAGAATGCATCCATCTATTATGATGTTATAAGAAACCACATCTGGCTCTATCTTCACATCTTCAGCCATCTCTCTTAGCAAATCCTCTGCCTTATCTATGTGCAATTGCTCACAATATCCTTTGAGCAGAACCATCAACGAATGCAATCTATTCTCTTATAAATCCTTAATTAGTGACATTTTTGAAAATGGATAACACATAAAGACACCAAAAGTGGTATTTTTAGAATTATCTCTATAGTTTTTCATTTATTATTCGATTTCATTATTTTTTAGATGTAATTTTAGAAATCCATATTCTAATTCTATAGTAATTTTTATTTTTTTATATACAATGTAGTTTCTTTTTATTTTGAAGATATTTCTAAAATGTTGAATTTTGTTCCCACCATCATTGTTATCGTCTTTATCCACATTTATTATTTTAAATGATCATAAATGTTTTTATATAATTATAATTTGAGAAGTTTTGAGAAATGTCACTTTTGAAATGTCACTTTTCAAAAATTTCACTTTTTAAAAATCTTTACAAAAATGCCACTTTTTCAAAATTATTTAGTCAATATATCATTTTTTACCGGCGATCTAAGATAAGAGAGAAAATGTACATATCAAATTTAAGCTATCTAACATAAGAGAGAAAATGTACATATCAAATTTAAGCTATAGCCAAAAATCTTAACAGAGATAAGAAACATACATGTGTAAGAAACCATCCGTTAAGTTTCCAAATTGGTTGTGGTTCTTCTTCCACATGTCTAGCATCTCCCCATGGTCGCCACCTAAAAAAATTGAACATCCCACATTCCAGCATAAATAAAATGGATGGAG